ACCAGGCAGCCCAGGGACTCCAGGTAGCCCAGGCAGTCCTCGAGCTCCAGGCACCCCTGGCTCTCCCACTGTTCCTTGCAGTCCTTGAAATCCTGGTGGGCCTTGTGGCCCAGGAGGACCGTCTTTTCCTTGTGGCCCTGGTGGCCCTGGATCTCCACTTGGTCCTGGCAGACCTGTCTTTCCAGGAGAGCCTCTTTGACCTTTGGAGCCAGGTGATCCTCTTGAACCTTTCCCTCCTTTTTCTCCTGGTGGCCCAGTTGGCCCAGGTGGGCCCTTTTCGCCTGCAGGTCCTGGAGGTCCTGGCTCTCCTTTCTCTCCTTTTTGTCCTTTTACACCAGCGGGGCCAAGAGGACCTACAGCTCCTCTGTCACCTTTAGGTCCCCTTGGACCAGGAGGACCTGAAACAGTATAAACATTCAAAGTTTATTCAAAGTAAGCGCATTAAAACAAACAAACAAACAAAATAAAAATAAAAAAAACAGAAAACCCACTGGGGGTTCTTGTTTAATGTATCTCAGACTAGCCATACTGGATATTCAGCATATTGAAAGCCTGATCAAAATTACTTGTAAAAGTATAGCTGCTTTTCAGGCATTACATAGCACTGCTCTTTCCTGAGTCTCTGAAGTACAAGATACAGAAGAAAATCTTCTGATGCACTTGTCCTGTGAACTGGACAGCCACATAATGCCATAGGTGACCAGCTGAGGTGCTACTCTCTACAGGACAAACCCTGTGCTGTTTATACAGTAAGTAAATGCAGTATTACATTTTGACACTCTCGTTCTGCTATGTTTCTTTTTCCTTCCAGCCCCGTCTCTCCTCTCTTAGACTACAGGACTGCTACTGCTCTGATGACCCTTCTTGTTGCTCTGTCAATATTAGGTTGTCAAAAGGAGATTAAAAGAGAGATGGATAGTGAGCAATAGGCCAGCTGTGAAGAAAGACCAGAAGCATTATCTGCTAACTTGTGGATTATAATGAAAAAAGAATAATACATATGATAGGAAATGGGAATATTATAACAGTTTTTCATACACAAGCATTAAAATAATCTTGGATTCTGATCGTGGATGAGCAAATTACTTGCCAATGTCTTCTTCTCAGATCTACATCAGAGATACATTTCTACACTGGAGTCATTCAGATAGGGTTGAAATGAGAAAGGTTAAGGTGATTGATGTATAATCTTGGTTCTAAGTCAGATTTATTATATTTGGATTCTATTTGAAGAAAAGGATATATATTTGTCATTATAGTTTCAGGCCTGACTGGCTCACATCAGGTTGGCAATATGAGTGTTCTTTTCATTTAGAAGAATACTTGGCTGGGAAAAGCCTCTTAAACTTGATGTTATTTATTTCTGGAGAAAATAAAATATCCAAGGATTAAAAACTAAGCAGAGTAGGATGTGTTCTGGCAGGCTAACAACTGGCTTAAAGTGAAATAGTAACTTGTTTTTCAGTAAGGGTGGACCTTCCTGGGAATGGTCCAGCTTATATTTTTTAGCAATTTTCTCCTTTGCAGAGACTGGTTTCTTGAGGTTCCACACCTTCACTAGCTTATTTTAGAAACTAAATCAAAAGCAGATCCATTCCGTCAGTTGGAATAAAATTCTGCTAAGTCAGAACCTTCTTTCATAACATTCCCATTCCAGGTATGCAAAGAAAGGGTATGAGTATTAGTAAAGCAGGAAAATTCAAGCTATACTTTCAATTCTAAAGTTTAGGATTATACAATGGCGAAAAAAAAAAAAAACATGTAGTAGGGAAAAATACCTTTCACAGAATTAAAGAAGGTCCTGCAAGCAGGAATTCAATACAGACCGTAACGGATATCATTAGAAAATTTGCATACCTTGCAGGATAGTGAAGTTCTTGATGAGCTGGCCATGTTTGGAATCTACCAGCTTCATTTCTTCCATAATTACTGACAAATTGGCAACTTCAACATCTAGTCTTGACCTCATCAAATCCTGCTGCACCTTGAGAGATGCAGAGTCTAAGCGAATATTGGCTAGTGTGCTGTTCATAAAAATCAGCTCATCTGAATGTTTACTTAAGGTGTCTGTACAAGTTGTCCTGACCTCATTGAGATTGCTAGTCAGTGTCCGTAGATGGTGAGCGGTGTAGCTGATGTTGCTAATGATGTTGACTATATCAGTTTCAAAGACTTGTACCCGCTCTTCTAGCTGGTTGAATTTGGCAGCAGTTCTGTTTTCATATTCTTTATGTTGTTCCTGGAGATCCTTTAGATTTTGTTCATTTGCTTGGGCTATTGTGGTGATGTTCTCCAGTTGCCCACTGAAGGAGCTGAGCTGATTGTTCATGTCTTCAAGTGTATCATTGTTAGCTTTTGCCAATGCTGAGTTGTTGGCTGCCAAAGTCTGTAAATTTTGTACTTTCTCCTTAAGCCAATCTGTGTCCTTCCGGGCTTGAAGAACAACCTGTTGCAGATTTTGAAAGTCATTCTTGATTCTTAGAATGGCCAAACTTGTATCTTCCATTGATTTCTGCAGAGCACTTATAAGATTTCTTTGCTGTATTTGTGTCAGGTTTAAGTTGTTTAGGTTCATGATGACCACATTATGAGAGTGCACTTGGTTTTGCAGATTTGTTTGTATATTACTTGTGTCCTGTTGAAGATTGTTGATATAGCCAGTATATGCCTGAAGAGTCTTATTGACACTGATGATCATGAAAGAGTTGCTATCTAAGACACTTTTCATTTGGCTCTGTCTATCATCTAACACATTTTCAGACTCTTGCAGCTTCTCCAGTGTATCTTTGTTTCTGGTAGTTTTCTCTGCAATGTCATGAAGCTGCTGACGAAGAGCCAGAATATCTGATCTGAAGCTAGACAGTTCAGTGTTTGTATTCATGGCTTTTTGTCCAGCTTGGTCATCTGTTAGACAGGAAAAAAATGAAAAGATGCACTTTTTAAAACGTAGTATTATCAAGCATGGTATTAAATACAGTCGGACTGTCAAAATGTTCAATCAGTAGAACTCTTACACTATCTTGTCCAGAAGAGAGAAACCATAAAGCAATGTTTTGCCACTAGAATTAGGTTAAGACATTGTGTCTTGCTGAGAAGAACATAATGGTGAGTCATATATGGGGAAAAAATACAGTTAAGAATTATGATGAATAAGTGCTTTAAAGTACTGCTTGTATCCTGAATAAAAAATGAATGATACGCAGAATTCAAAATATCGGAGAAGCTGGCACTTATTCTTTTTCATGGAAGTTTAGGAGCAGAATTTAACAGTTCATATTCTTCCTTATTCTGCCAGTGAAATCTTTTCGTTGTGATTTAGTATATATAGCTTTTTCTTTAATTGATTTTAATTTTAGAATAGTTCTTATATAGTACAGACTATATAGCTGTCTACAGACTATAGTCTGTTGTAAAACAATCTGAGCTAGAGACAAAAGCTTCACCAGCAGGCTACTCCAGATATGACAGGATATGATGCTTTTCTTTTTTTTTTTTTTTTCCAGTTCTCTCTAACATACCATGAGTGCTTTTAATGACATTTCTTTTGCTGTTATTGTTTCCTCATGTTCCAAGATTCGGGAAGGCAAAACCTTTAATCTTTGAGGAACATCTCTGTTCTTGCTTACACTGCTCCAGAGTATACTTCTGGGAGCTCATCTGAATGTGATTAAGCTCTCAAGGCTGCCCAGCTCATCAACCAGGACATAGAAACCAAGGAAATGAGCACTCAACACTCACTTTTAGGGAAGATTCCCTTTCTTGACCTCAATCATTTCCCTCTGCTACACACAGTTCATATATTCTTGTCCTCCTCTAAGTCCAGCTATGTCTATGAATTACAGAGTCTTGAGATGATTCCAAGAGAAGACAGGATGGTTTTCATAAACTGCGGTGAAAAAAACAGTTGGGTATGGAGCTTTCTTCTAGTATGTTTGAATGAGTCATGATGGCTAATAACAAATGGTGGATTGAAAGAGAGACTTCAGCCTGAGTTGTCTGGGGACTCTGGTGCAAATTGACACTCTGCCAAAGCGCAGCTCCTCTCCCTGTTATTGGTCTCACTCTAGGACTGTCTCAGCTACACATTTTCATCTCAGTTAAAGCTCAAGTTAGTTGTATTCCTCACGTAGCTCTGACAACTGCCATAGACAATCCCTAAAAGCCTTTCTTTCATTTATGCCATGTGGCTATTTCTCTAACTCCAAAACAGCTCTCTTCTTACTTTTATGAGACTCACACACATTGCCCCATGACTATTTTAACTTCTTCCACAGCAAGTCAACTTAAATGGGAACGGATGGTCTTAAGCATCTTGCCAGTTCTGGGCCATCCAGTCAGTAGTGCTAAAAATGTTTGTGAACAAGCTGAATCAAAGGTCCTTTAAGTTGTGATTTAAGCAACCAAACAACCCTAAAATGTTGCACGTTCTTTCAAGTACAAGATTCACTTCCATAAAGGTATCACTGCAAGTACCTGTCACTGAATTACCCTGTATCTTTGAGAAATGCAGTGTGTGAATACTTCAGAACGTACATTTTGAAAAGAAAAAAAAAGGTCTAAGAAGCTAAGCAAAATGTGTTTCAAGAAGCAAATGCGCATATGTGTATATCTATCTATCTATGTCTATGTCCATAATAAGCTAGTTATATAAACTACAAGTTTATGTATACATATTTTTAAGAACTTGAGATATTGGAACATAAATATTATATCTTGTCATGGTCAGAGATTCTGCAGACAAATCCCCAGCCCCTATCCACCAGCAGAATACTCTAAAAGCATTACGGAAAGGGCTTTGCTTGCGTGTAAATTACCTAATTTCTTCAGACCACTCTCCACCTCTGTGAGTTTTTCTGTGTATCTTCTGTGGGATGTTTCCAGGCCACCTGTCACATTGTCCATTTTTTCTACAACTAGGAGAAACAGAACAGTATGTTATGAAAAGAAGAAAAGTGAAATTATGATAGAAAGGATAGTAAAAGATGAAGCAAACTAAAAGAACCTTATCAGTATCAAACATAAAAATCCCTTTAAAATTGCCTTTCTCTCCACTAAATTCTACTGTAATTCTGTTAAATATTGGAAAGATGATCTCTTATCTGAATACGTGACCTGGCACTCTTCCAGAAAGTTCTTCAGCATGCCAACATTCACCAAACCATTTTTTGCTAATGAGTAGTCCCTCTCATGAATGAGAAAATCCTTTTTTGAGAGTTTTCCTGGTGCCTTGCCTCCAAGCCATCAAGCTATCAAACTCTGCACAAATTTGAAGATGCAATTATTAAAATACTTTTGAGCACCTTTTAATTACACACAGCACTCCAAATGTTCTTCCAACCATTCCAGCTCATTAAGATTGAATGGATGGTCATTCAAGTGCAGATTTAAGGCTTTCTCTGATGTGCTCTTTTTTTTTTTTGGATGATGTTTGAGCCATTTTCTTGTCACTGAGTCAATCAGATGTTTTGGTGGCTTGATACAGAAATTGAAAAAGACCGCACAACAAATAGGAGCCTAGAGTGGCTTACAGTGATGAAAACATTGCTGAAGCAATGCATGCAAGGCTAGTTTTCAGCATCCATGCCAAACTTACTTTGATATGTTTTTGTATTCAAACCATAACCAGGACCAGAAATGTCTTCTCATCACCAGATTATTTAACCCTTTGCCTATGTTGGGAACAGAATGGATCTGCATTGACCCTACATGAAGCATGGTGCCAGCCACTCTCTTTCATACAGAAGAAATAAGGTGCTTCCCAGATCTTTGGATAGTGAAGCCGGTTCTGTTGGACAGTGTGGGGGCAGGAGCTACAATCTGCGGCCAGGAAACAACCTCAAAAAAGTTGCTGCCACATGAGGAATTATTTTCTACCAGAAATGGAAATTCAGGGGATCTTTTGCTACTTACTAGCAACTACAAGCACCTCTGGCCTTTAAAGCATAGTCCACCTTGATAACTCCTTCTTGATTCCTTATTAACTTGCTTTTCTGACAAGTTACCACAGATATATCACAGGCTTTTAATGCTCCCAAAAATCAACAGGAAAAACAACAGGAGAAAATTATCACTGGTGTAACTGCACTGAGGTGAGTGGAGTTACATCAGAGAAAACGTCTCAAGGTCTGAGGAAACCAGACATCCTTTGGTGAACTACCTTCTTTCTCCTTTCCCCACTGCAAACAAATCAGCAAAACAGAGGCTTTTCTGTGCTCATAAAAGTAGAGTTGGAGGCAGGTTTCTGTATTTGGGATGATGGCAGCTTGGCTGCTAAATGTCAGATCCAGGCTACAATACTGACTTTGCGTTTTCAGGGGGCCACTGCTTAATACCCTTTGCCTTAGAAAGGATTTTTTTTTCCCCAAGAAACCAGTGTTTCACTGGTTCTTCTGCCTATTAGAGACACTCTTCGATATGGTTTGTGCTGTTTTTTTCTTTTCTTTTTTTTTTTTTCCTAAAAAAAGTCAGTTTGATTCTCTGCTTCTCCTGCCCAAAGTCTCTTCTAGGTTGGAGCCCAACTCAGCAATCCTGCAGTTAGTTTTCCATTGATGCCTATATACATCTGTGTATCACATCCAGTGAGTGCAGGTCCCTACATGTTTACTTTTCTTTTTGGTTAGCTCTAGGTGTTCTGCTTTGTCTATAGATATTCACTGTGAAGGATAAAACACACTCAAGGAACTTATGGACAACATAGCAAAAGCATCTGGATTTAAAAATTAGACCTACTCCAAGTGTTTGTGCTAAACATTGGCTTGGCCTTGGTGGACAGTATCTCATCAACTACAGACCTTGTTAATCATGATTCAGTGTAATAATTGCTTATTTTCTCCAGTGCAAATGAATATTTCTTAATATTAATGAAAGCAAAGTGCAGCTTCTTCCTTTCATAGCCCAAATGAATGCCAGTCTGTAGTTCAGCTTTGAAGCTTATGAAATTGAGATTTGATGCAGTTTTTTTTCATGATAGAAAAAGAATCTGACAGTGGAAATCTGGATTAAAATGTTCTCCTGAAGAGTCTGAAGCATGAAAATAAGAGAAATCCAGTCAGTACATAGTAGAACAAAGTATGTTATTTTCCCTGTCAAAACTTGAAAAAATGCATTAAAAACGTGGCACCTGGTCTGTAGGTATGAATGCTTTTTGTGTGGAATACCTGAAAAATTGTTGAGGCAGCAGTAAGCCTTACTCGTACTGGTTACAATTGGCTGTGATATCTGGGGAAGATTATGCTTGGCCTGAAGGTTCACTAATGATACCTCTTAAAAAGTCTTCAATCCTCAATAGTTCGTCTCCAACAGAAAGTAGTAAAATTAATTTTATTGTGCAACTGGAAACTAGAAAACAGCCTTGAATCAGTAGGGTCTGACCTGAAAGATGCTGTCTTTTTGACACTAGACGGTCAGTGCCTTACCCAGATTAACTGATGTGAAGTGCAGAATTAGCTCGGTTGGGCAAACATTTCCCTTATTTTAATTCTGCCTCTTTGTGATCTATAAGGCAAAAATATTCTCTGTTGCAAAGAACAGTTTCGCTTTCTGATCAGATCACCATAGAAATTCGTTAAAGGTTCTCCAAAAGAAGCAAAAACTTTAAGCAGTTGCTGACCAGAACAGTGAGAAGTCAGCATTGGACCCACTCTCTGAGGCTCAGTCAAGAAACGGAAATAAAAAGTCCCATCTCACTAGTGTATGTTGACCTGAGGTAATGACAAACACTGTCTGAGAGATAGCTAAAATAAGCAGATGGGAGTCACAATGGACACTAGTCAAAAAAAGTTCAAAATAAAGACTGACCTCAGACAGACAACTAGACAACTATCAGAAATTCAAGTTCAGGACATGTTAACTTCCCTTACTGGAGTGAGTCAGAGGATGATCATTCACTTTAAACAGACACTGGCTGGTGAGAGAAAAATTATAACTTTGGGGTTGCTTTTTTCTGCATTTTATTTAAGAAAGCATATGAAAAATATGTTTTGTTAAGATCTTAGAAATAATTTAGTACTTTTGTTTCTGAAGGTAAACTAACAGTAAACTCAACTTGCCATTCCTTGATGACCTTGATGTTTAATTCATGTTTTGGTTTTAGCTTTCTCCAGCTTACTATGCAGTTTTTACCACCAATTTGGAGGTTTGTTTTGCCTCCCATTGAGTTATTTTTGCCTGCCATATTTAATCTGCTGATTAGTAGCTTTAACATTTTAAATCACAAAGGATATCTAAATACCACGTAGGAAATGAAGGTTTTAAAAGTAGTTTGGGGCTTTATAAACATAAGTGTAGGAGGCAAGTTTAATGGAAACCTAGCTAAGAGATTAAAAGAATCCCTGATGCCAGCAGAATTCCTTCTTTCAGTGTAATATCACAATAAAAAAGACAAGCCAAATTCTGATGCAGAGGGGAAAGTTCAAGAGCTTTATAAAATTTTATTTTGAGGCCCGTTCTTCCTTTAAGGCTTAATTCCTTCCTAACTAAAAAAAAAAAAAAAAAAAGAAGCAATAATTTGTTTGACTATGTACTGTGATATTGCATTTTTTTTTTCCAGCTGAGCTGGGGTTCTGCCTAACTCATGGTTTCCCTGCAAATTAGCACTTCAGGCATTGCAGAGATAGAGCTCTCAAACTGGAGGGTACAAAAGGCTTTATTGGGACATGATAATTTGCTGCTTGGAATTACTGAAGGACTTTGGACTGAGAAGGACTCCTTTCCAACATATACCTCCTTCCTTGGAATTTAGATGGAGTAGTCACCAAGAGGTCTTATGGTCAGTGAACAGTATGTGCATTAGCTGTGTTCCTGTATCCTTATTTTTTTGCATTTTAATGGGTGAGGAAAATCTTTTGTGCTCGTCCATGATACATGTTGCTTGGTAAAGCTATGACAGCTTTATGCACAAGTGACTGGCCAGAACAAGAAGTAGGATTGAATTGAATGTAGCAGCAAAGCGGCCTCAAGTTGAGAGACAAGACTGTGCTGGAGGCCCATGGAGAAAGAAGCTTGGAAACTGTGGGTTGAGAAGAGGGAGGGAAACTCCTTCTCCTGAAGGGATTTTTGGGACAGTTTCCTTATTCTTTTATTCTTACATGTACATGAACAAAGGTTTGCCAAAGCAAATGGTCCTTCCAACTTGATATACTCTTTCTGGTGCCAAGTAAGATCTGATTCTTCTAGTAAGTGCCAGAACGGCATTATTACAGCCATGCAATAAAACTCTCTTGAGGAAAATTCCTCTAAATTCCAGACATTTAGTGTCTGGGTTATAGACTGGAATGATCACACCCTCACCTGTTGTAAGCAGATCTCTGCAGATTTATATCTCTCCAGCTTGTATTGCCAAATGATTTTATCTTTATACATCAAGGACAAGCTTTTGAATCCTGCAAATTTCTTTTCCTCAGAACCTTTCTTTCAGAGGGCAGTTACACATTCTTTGGGAAAATATCCAATCAATTATATACATATACATACTTTTTTTTCTTTACATTGTATTTGCATGTACTACATTCTCTATGGTTTATAGTCAAAAAGGAGCATCTATGTTTTAGAGCATCTCTATGTTTTATATTAAAAAGAAGCACTCTACCTACCCGTTTCCCTTGTTAAATTTTCCGTCTAACCCAAACAGTTTTCATTTTCTTCCCACTCTAAACCATAACCTGTCCTTTTAAATAACTATTTATCCCTTTCTATTTCTACAGTTTCCTTTTCTTTGCTGGCGCAGGACCAAAGGTGATATCAGTTCTGCTAGGAGTGCAGCTGCTGGCAGTGCACAGCACACTGCATGCTAATCACATGAGTATTCACCCGGCTTCTCGGAGGGTTTTGAAGCTATGCTCAAAGCCATGCTCAAAGCCATACTCAAAGAATTGGTTTTCTGCAGGGTCCAGTTGTAATACTCCCAGTGCTATTCATTTTCTTTTCCTCAGCGGAGTCTCACATCTCATGCCTTTAACTTTTTTAGGGAGGTGACCGCACAACAAGCAGACCGTGACATGGAGCTGCTCATAAGCACACTGAGGTGGCTACAGCCAATTAGTCACCACTGTATATGGCAACTTTAAGCAGCTTTTTGCAATGTGCCCTACCCTGGACTTGCACAAATGCAATTTCCTCCATTATTGAGTCGCCCAGCTGGCAGCAGCTGGGCTCCCGAAATTACTGCTGCATCTTCAAAGGGCCTTTAGAGTTTCCTCCTTAAAGTAATTGTGGATAACCCAGTACCTTGACACCACCTTCCTGGTTGAAACTTTCTTTTCAAAGTAATATTTATCCTACACTTGGAACCTGGAATAAGTATTACAATTATATTAAGATCATTCCAGGCTCTCCATTAAATAAGATATTTATTCTAGAAAGATGCTGGTATCTACAATAAAGTCTAGCAAAATCAAGGTATAGCGAGGTGAATGTCCTATAGATTCAAAGATCAGCAATATAGCACTGAGTTTTGAGTCCTTCAGCTAATAATACTCCTTCATGATGGAAAAAAAGATCATTTTGTTCTAACCTTTTTCTCAAATTTCTTAGATAATTTCTAATCTAATTTAACAATGTAACTATTTAAAGTGCAAATCTAAGGCTGCAGCTTTTGATATGTGTCAATTGTACAAGAAATGGCACTGCCAAACATACTCATATTTGATGTGAAAACATAATAAATTGTCTAACAAGCAGAGAGACTCTCTACAACTCAAAAGTGAAACTTTGTGCTTGATACATACATACCTTTGTATCCCAGAATGGCTACTGTAATTGTTAACAGGGCACATAAAATATATAATAAGATGATGGAAAACTTCAGTGCCCAGTTATTTTTACATTTGGTACATTGAGTCCCCTCTTGAATACCTGCAAAAGAAGATTTTAAGAATTTTAAGACAAGGGCAAAGAACAAATTGCTGATTTTGTCTCTTCATTTTTCTCCTCCATTTTCTAAGGAATGAAATATTTCTGTTAGCAGACAGTACACAGGCAGCTATTTGCCTGTGCGGCCTGAAGAGCTTCTATAGCTGTTAAAGCATCACTGTGTTAAGGAGAAATAGGTTCTGTTTCACGGGATAAAACTTTCAGAAGGTGCTAACAAGCCATGGGGAGTTTTGGAAGTCAAAGTTACTGGAATAGCTTTTGTCAAAATCACACAGTAGCACCTCTCAGCATCCAAACTCCCTACGCCGGCAACAGGAGACAGTAAATACTCAAGCAGAATGAAAATACAGAAATGAAGCAGTATTATGAACAGTTGTTACAAGTACTGGCCCTGCTTTGCAACCACTATCACAAATGGCTACTATATGAATGCTTTCTTCCCATATGGAGATTTTTATTTATTTACTTTGTTTTGGAGAGTATGATTTCCAAAGAGAATAAGGGATACTATGCTGGTAAAACTAGTAGTAGAGCTATACTGGTAGAATCATGCTGATAAATTTTTCCAGGTAGACAAGTTTAATGAAAAAAAGCCTCAAACAGAAAAAGAAAAGCAAATGTAAACCTTTATTAATTGATATCTGAGTTTGTTATGGCAGGTTTTGACATCAGTCAGTCTGTTATGTGGGGAACCTATATCCCTGTTTCCTCCATGCGATCCTCTGGAAGAGCTTGGAAGTGGTGGAAGAGCTGACTAAGTCACCAAGAAATTCAGGAGAAAGATGAATGTGTGAAAACAAGACAATCTGATGACTGTGCTGAAATGAATAACCTGGATTTAGCCTTTCATCCAATGTGCGTTAAGCAGATCAGGGTAAATGCAGCTTGCTGTGTCTGTCAGAAAATGCATTTCTTTGATATTCTATTCTATTTGTGTACTATTAGTGGAGTCCCACAGGAAAGCTTTAAGTTCTAATAAATTGCATGTACCAGATTACTTAACTAATCAAAATTTTCTTCATAATCTTTTATGAGTAACTTGTATTTCCCCAGAGGCGTAACCCACAGCTGATTCTGTTTTTCCCAACTCATGACCCTCTGTAGAGTGGCTTTTAATTTTTCATTTTTTAAAGCACAGGACATTTCCCCTGTGTTTATTGAGGCCTGGTGACTGACATACCAAGCTAAGTCAACTGTATTAATCTCTCAAGGAACAGCAGTTTCCAGTGACTTCCTTAAGCCTACAGCACTTGAAGCCGGGATTACTATACTGAAGCAAGTCAGGAAGAGGATTTATACAATGTTTATTTGACAAGGCATTTTTCTCAATTCCCTTTGCACGTATATTAGCCTTGGACAAGGCAGAAACACATCTCACACAGGTCAGCTCCTCTTTCTACATTATGTTATCTCATTTTTCCTAAGCTTTTCAGCTCCAGTGTCATATCCTGTTGCCATGTGATGAAAGTGATGTCAGGGATCTCCAAAACTTGCAATTTAGGCATAAGATCAGCTGGGGACATTCAGATTTGTTTTCAGCTTTATTAAGGGAAAATAAAATAAAGATTGCAAGTATAAACTTAAGAACAGAAACTGCAGAAGGGGGAAGATTGAAGAAATCGGAGGGGGAATATGTGATTTTCCAAAGTTTTGTAGAAGGCATTCAGAGACAGAAATTATTTCGTAAGGGTGACTTACGGCATCTGAGGCACCTTTTTTTCTGCTGTTAACTGAGTGGCTTATTGAGTACTCGGGGTTGCACACTGAATGCCAGGCTCTTCTGAAGGATTAAAAATCAGATTCCAATTCTGCAAGTCTTTGAATACCCTACATACCAAAGACCACTGGAAGTTTTGGGCTCGACACTCCACATTCACCTTCTAACCCACACCAACAACAGAAAGTTCAATTCTAATATTGATGAAAGAAAGATCAGAGCTGTAACTAGGAAGATCAACAGGCGGTAGAGATACAAAGGTCAGAAAAAAGCAGAAATAACTGAAACTCTGACAGCAACTGCACATAGCAACTTCACTTGATTCCAGTGCCACGTTAGGGTTACTCATACTCACTTTCCGTCCCTGCACGCTGACCTCCTCAATAGTGCAACGGGCTGAAAGCTCTCTGATGTCACTGGCTGTATTACAGCTCATCACCTAGTATCCTGCACGTTCAGTACTCCATAAGGATCATGTTTCACTTGTCTCAGTCCTCGATATTGTGGCTTCAATAAAACAGCACTTGGCCTTTTTGGAGCTTTCACTTTCAGCATATTTCAAACTGACATCAGAGCGACACCCCAGCAAAAGCCAGACTTTCCAATCTTTAAATGGGATGCAGCCCTGTGGGGATCAAGCATGCAAACGCAGTGTATGAAAGCAACCAGGTGGGCTAAAACGAGTCAGCTGGGCAGGATCGCTACATTGCCTTGCCTGCACACCAGCTCTGAACTGCAGCTGACTCCCATCAAAGCCTTCACTGCCTTCATCTACCTTGTCCCAAGCCCAGGGAGCTGTAACAGCCACTACCTTCTTCTTAATTTTATTATTTTTTTCTCGAGATGGATACAGTAAAGTCTTTTACCAATTAATTTATTCTTTACTGCAAATATGTACTTATTAATTCCACCCCTAGTACTGTCTGATCTTACAGATTATTAAGTATGTGAAAATTACAAAATATCTGGAAGAATATCTGACACCTGGAAGATAAGGTTTTGAAGAACAGCTCTGATTTTGTGGGGTTGACCAACCTGAACTCTAAGCAAGGTCAAGGCTGGGAAGATAGCCCTCTTTTTAAGGATGAACCATAACACAGTCAGGGCTCCCCAGTCCATCCAAACACAGAGCCTGGATTTGACTCACACTATTATTCTTCGGCACTATCCCTTTTCAGGAGCAGTCCCAAATGGGATTGTCCCAAATGGGAAATGTTCTGATACCAGAGGTGCATGTCACTGTGAGGACAATCTTTTTTATGAAAGGGTTCACCTGAAAAGACACAGTAACCAAAACACTAAGAAACAACAGCTGGGAGAAGATTACCGGTGCTCTCTGCAATTACACAAAAGCCAGCAGGCTGGCATAAAATACACAGGTTTGTCAGAGAAGCTGTGTCAAGTACTGACAGAAACCATGTGTGGATTTTAATTTGACAAAACTTTGACCAGAATCAATTTCATTTTTACCCACGTGGCTGCCTGCTTTCATGGCTCACTCCGAATTTAGAGTTCGTCCGGGAGATGTTCAATAACTCATCTAGAAAGCTGGAAAGCTGTAAGGTAAATGCACAGGGAAAGACCCATTCCACTGATACAACACATGTTAAACCTGCCAAACAGGGCTCTCAGCTTAAGTCAGATCTTCTCGGTTTGTTATTGCTACTCCTTGTGCAGTGAACTCCACTCTGTGTTCAGGACACATGGTTTTAATGTTGGTCTGCTCCCGACATTTGTCACTAACTTCAAAACCCAGGGAGCCAAGGTCACTTCCGGATGATGTGCATTTCTCACTGCTGATTTGATCAACATTTAATAAATATCAGATGGGACACTATGTGCCTCATTTCACTGGACACATGGTTTTTTTCCATTCCCTTCCCTGACCTATTTTAATAAGAGCTCTGGTTTTTCTATCTCACTGTTGGGAAGACATCTGGCCAAACAGACAGCGACCCAGTACAAAGAGATCCTGCTGGCTCACATGCTTTGGGGACCCCCTTCTCTGCAAACCAAGATGGTCACAAAAAATATGCAAGTGAGACATCCCCCTGTTACCAGGCTTTGTAGTATTTGTTTTTATAGCATTCCATTCCAGCGCCTGAAGACTTTGTTCTCATGCAGGGGGTATACATCTGCAGATTCCTTTTGGGCTCCAGATAAAACTAAGGGTTTTTTGTGGGGGAGAAGGCTTGTCTTTTATTGTTGTTGTTCTGTGTTTTTTACTGGGAGACTGAATACCTTTCCTTTTCATCGTGGAGTAGATACTCTCCAAAACGCCTGACTCCTCAAATGTCTTGTGCTTCAGGAATCATGTCATACAACACTTGAGTAGGATAAGCACAATTATTTTCTTGCTCAATAATTGTTTTGGTGGGCATTTTTCTCCATGTCCTTTTCTTGGCTCAGGATCTGGGATCTTAGGTGGCCTCATAATATTTCTCCTAGCAGATGAGTATTCACAAAGATATAAGGCAATCCTAACAAAAACATACTGATAAGAGAATTGAAGAGCTGTAGTGCAGGATAAAAAAAAGTTCCTATATTAGTTGTGAGCGTTTTTTCCCCAGGGTGATTCATATATAAAGAGATAACATCCCTTGAAGCTCCAAGAGAAGACTGCAAGTCCAGTTTACAGACTTAAAATGGTATTTTTTAAGGCTAAAGCTTTTAAGTCTGATGAGCAGTAGATCTAATAACTATATTTAAAGGGGGCAGACATGCTATGTAGTATATCAGCTTCTGTAAAGCACTTTCGGCCACCAAATCCAATCTGAGACCTTTGTCTTCTTTCCTGTGTCGTTTTATGGGTTAACAAGCTACCCTCCATGATAAAAATTCCTGTGATCCTCCATGAGAGGTTTAGTTACAGTCAGCAAAAGTGATGATTCAGTGGCTCCATATGACTAACAGAAAGCACTGTTCAGAAAACAATCACTCCTTATAATGGCTATAGAGAGCAAAACGTGAGATTGGCTTAAGCTTTACTTTTTTATACTTTGAAATAAACCTCTGCCTTCATTCAATTTAGAGTATCTTCTTGTACTATAAAGACCATAGCTTGAGCTGAGGCATGACCTTTCCTTGTCTACCTTTTCCCTATCTCATGCATACTGATCCCTCCCCATACGTAGGGGTGATTAGAGTTCTGGAATGGGGAGAACCTATTGCATGAAACAACAAGGATAGCATTTGTTAAAGCTTCTCTCACAGTTGCACTGTCCCACAGCTCCTCTCTTGCTCTGGGACCGAAATGCAGCAGGAC